GGGGGGGGGAAGGCCCGCCGCAAATATCAAAGAACTACTGAAATGCCGGTCCACGTGGGGACGGCTGACGATGTCCTGAAGGGACCTACAAACTCTACGGCGCAAATAATAAGGGGGTGCTAGGGAAGGGATGGCAAATAGGGAAGACTCAATTACTCAAAGTTACTCACTCAATACGCTCGTCACATTGTAATCCAAAAGTTCAATAGTCCAAATCGCAATGACTCTCGCACTCAAAATTCCCACTCGCTATTGACGCTATCCTGACTCGAAGTGACGAAATTTCTGGTCGTTTGGCCATCGTGGGCCTCCAGGGCCTCGCTGATTGGCCGGGGCTGTTCAGCTGAGAAGGCTGCGCGCTTTGGCATTGGTCGGCAGTTCCGGCATGGCAGGGCATTGGTCCTTTTCGTATCTAGTGGACTGCCGGGCCTTCCAGGGCCTCGTGGCGGCGACACGGCGTTGGCTTCGCCGGCGCGTGTGCTAGCTGCGCGCGCCGGTCAATATGGCGGCCTCCAGGCCTGTCAAAATCCTCCCGGGCACGTCCGCGGTCTCGGAGGCAGAGGGCTCCGCCGCTGTCACACGGGACTTTTTCCTGCCCGTTTGACGGGACTGCACCGGGGCTGCATATATTGGTGGCGATGGTGGTGGCTGGGCATCCATCCCACGGGCGACTCGACCACCCGTTCTTCCTGCTCATGCCATCCCTGCCTTCCGTTGCCTCGGCAACGCAGCCACTCTCGCGGTCCATCCATGGTGTGTCCTCATAGCAGGTCCACGACGATGTCCTCGATGCGGGTGCTTGTTGTTGGTCCTCGAAGATGGTCCTCGAGTCAGTGCCCTACGGGGGAATGGGGACAGGAAGGGAAGGGTGAAGGGGGGGGGGGGATCTTACGACTAGTTATAATAAACCTAGAACACTAAATACGCTCGATTAACAATACTAACTATAAAGCGCAATACCCAAGGCCTGTGGGCACCTCGAGCCAGGGGGTGAAGGGGAGTCTGTAGTAACATTTTTGTTACAAGCTATTGCACTTCTTGATTAAAGCTCGATTAACAATACTAACTACAAAGCGCAATACCCAAGGCCTGTGGGCACCTCGAGCCAGGGGGTGAAGGGGAGTCTGTAGTAACATTTTTGTTACAAGCTATTGCACTTCTTGATTAAAGTGAAGTTGTTCGCACAAACAAAGTTCAATAATCGAGCAGACCGTGTAAAAAGAACAGGTAATATTGATTATAAATGCAAAAAATTAAACAAAATTAAAGGTATTTGATTTATCGTTCCTGACTATTGTCAGAGACTCTGAGTTGCGATATGATCAAGCCTAATTCACGAACTCGTTCCTGTGCATTAATACCAGAGGCTTTTTAAGCTGCGACTCGTGTGTTTCTATCTAATTATTAGTAATAAAATAATGGAACGTACCCTGACTTCTGTTAGAGGCTTTTTTAGCTGCGTTCCAATGTAGATTTGTTCACGAAGTCGTTCCCCGGGGTCTCTCGGAGGCTTTTCAAGCTGCGCTTCGTTCATTTATTATGTTTACTAGATATGGGGGGTGATGTTGATTGCCTTCTCGTGGTGCCCACCGAAAACGAGTGCACTTATTATATTCATCAAACATATGGACGAGCTTTACCGCATTATCAATTGCAAAATTAGTGTGACCATCATAATGTCTACTGTTCAATGAAGATCGGTGCACTCGGCTAAACAATCAACACAAATTATTACTACTTTGGTGTATATTTGTAGAAATACAATAAAGCTAATACTACAGTTTTGTATGAACGAATAGGAATTTTATACATGAAAGCTGACCCGATCTTGCATCATTTGCACCCCTATTCGATCGATGCAACGCCGGATCATCAAGGAGTAATGCCACTTTAGCAGCTCAAAAAAATATATAAAATTAGGAGCAATTATTATTAGAAAATATTATATTCAATATAAAGTCTGTTAAGATGAATTTATTATACATGATTTTAAGAGTATACAAAAAATTTGTATTTAATTTTTTTTCGAAATAGTGGCGTACCTAACAAACTCTCTTGTTCAAAACAGTGTTCTCCGGCCAGACAAATCACTCCTTGGAAGTTTAACCCGAAAAAAAAAACAAATATTTTTCAGTTATGTATAAGAATAGCTAGATAAATACGTAGGGAAATTAAAAAAGTACGTCTAAAATCAGAGTTCTGATTAGACCTTTTGCAGCTATTCTTATATAGAATTGAAAATTATTTGGATTTTTGTTTCAGGTCAAACCTCCAAAAAGTAATTCGTCCAGCCGCAGAACACTGTTATGAACAAAAGGTTTTGTTGGATAAGATGCAAAGTCACCATTTTGAAAAAAAAAATTGTAATATACTCTTAAAATCATGTACACTGAGCGTCATTAATAGGTCCGCCATGTAGTGCAGTGAGGTAAGAGAGGAGACTAGGCGGTGCCTGCTCACGTACCTCTGCCCGTGCGTGCAACGCAGAGAGCACTACGGTGCAAGCGAGATGCCAGAGCGTCGCTCGGTGCATCCTTGTTGCACAGCACGAGTGTAA